ATAAGCTTGAGAGCCAGTCTAGCGACAAGCTGTTCTTGTATCTCGACTTGCCGAGGTTTGAGCTTCCAATTGTGTTTTGCGAGGCAGAGTCGATCTTGCCGTCAGCAGATGCTTCGAACGGACTCGCATCTCTGTCAAACGCCATGATTGGGCCTAGCTCTGGAGCGTCGATTGGTGGCGAGAGAGCAGCAGGTCACGAGCTCGGTGGTCCTGGAAGCGTTGTCTCAACGGCTTCAAACAACCCAAGTTCAGCGGCAGCAGCAGCAGCGGCCGCAGCGGCTGCACTCTCGACAGCAGATCCAAACCGCATCACCTCTTCACTCTTCACCATCTTTGACCCTGAAATCATGCGATCGAATCCAGTCGAAGCAAAACATCGTCGACTTGTTCGATCGCACCGATCAGGTCCACTCGACCGCGAGCTCAAACCGTCAGCAGAAGTTCGAGACGAACTCAATGAGATCCTCTCATACCCACCAACGCGGGTTCTCACACCAGCAGAGATGGATCGAGTCTGGTCGTTCCGTTTCTATCTCGCACGCGATCCAAAGGGTCTCACGAAATTCCTGAAGTCGGTTGTATGGACTGATCAGGGTGAGGCGAAGCAAGCTACGGAGGTACTTTTGCCAATGTGGACCAAGCCTGGTCTCGATGATGCGCTAGAGCTGCTCGGACCTACATTCAAGGATCCTCGTGTAAGGTCGTATGCTGTGCGCCAGCTGGAGAGAGCAGAGGACGAAGAGCTGATCTTGTATTTGTTACAGCTGGTACAAGCTCTAAAGTTCGAGAAACCTGTAACACATAGCTCGGGAGGTCAGGCTGGATCTGCAAGTGGCGACCGTGAGAGCGAGTCTCGTCAACTACCTGCTACTCGCCCACCAGCCAAGTCACCTTCCAACTCATTGAAAGTGGATGGCGCAGAGGAAGACAGCAGCGGTCTTGCCGATTTCCTCATCCGCAGAGGTGTCGCCAGCCCCTTACTGGGCAACAATCTATATTGGTATCTCGAGGTCGAATGCGAAGATACGAAGACAGGAACGCTGTTCAAGGCAGTCAAGCGAAGGTTCTTGGACCGTCTTGGTTCGCTTCCCACCGGTGCAGAGAGAAGGGAGACGATAACAAGGCAGGCGACCTTGCTTGCTGTGCTTTCGAGACGCGCCAAGGAGCTTAGGTCGAACAGGGACGCGAGGCCAAAGAAGATCGAAAAACTCAGAGCACTTATTGCTGATCCGAAGAATGGATTGAATCGGTTTGACCCTCCGCTAATGCTGCCGTTGGATGCTTCGATCTCGGTGACAGGTATCGTAGCGGATAAGAGCTCGATCTTCAAAAGTAATCTCTTCCCGCTCAGGCTTGAGTTCACCACTATGGTCAACACCGCAGTGAAACCGAGTGATGGCGAAGACGTGGAAGCAAGTGGACATTTGCCGCACAGTATCACGGCAAGCCTGATTGAGGATGACGAAGAAGGGTCCCTCCTCAATGACGAGTCTCGCCCAGGCGGAAGCAGCAAAGACAAGGATGACAAGAAAGCGGGCGAAATAGGCAACTACACTTTGATCTTCAAAAACGGTGATGACTTGCGACAAGATCAACTTGTCATCCAGCTCTTCTCCCTGATGGATCGACTTTTGCGAAACGAAAATCTCGATCTCAAAATGACCCCCTACCGCGTCCTAGCAACAGGCAGCATCGACGGTATGGTGCAATTCGTCGACTCTCTCTCCATCGCAGCCATCCTTTCCGCTCATCAAAACTCCCTCCTCAACTTCCTTCGCGCTCACCATCCCCAACCGACTTCACTGTCGACTTACGGTGTTGACCCAGGGGTATTCGAAACATTCATCCGCTCCTGTGCCGGCTACTGTGTCGTCACCTACCTCCTAGGCGTGGGAGATCGGCATCTCGACAACCTCCTTCTTTCTTCCGACGGACACTTCTTCCACGTCGATTTCGGCTACATTCTGGGTCGAGATCCAAAACCGTTCCCTCCACCAGTAAAAGTTTGTAAGGAAATGGTCGATGCTATGGGCGGCACACAGTCTCCGCACTATGCGAGGTTCAAGGCGTTATGCTACACCGCCTTCACAAATTTGAGAAAGAACGCAAATCTGATTCTGAATCTGGTAGCTTTGATGGTGGATGCGAATATTCCAGATATCAGGTTGGAGCCGGACAAAGCGGTACTCAAAGTGCAGGATAAGTTCTTGTTGCATTTGAGCGAGGATGAGGCGATCAAGGAGTTTGAAGGGTTGTTGAACGAGACGAGTTACCTGTCGACTATGTTTGATAGGTTGCATGATATGGCGCAGTATTTCAGGCAGTAGGCTTACCTCACGGCATCTTTCTTAGCAATGGTACAAGAACAAGCTCATGTTCAAGTGTGTGATTGATCGTGTGCTCGTACAAATACAATGCGACTGAGTCAAGGGTCGAGTAACATGGTGAGGATAGCGATCATGAGGAGCGCTGTGCAAGCCTCATCGAAGCAGGTGCTCTTGGTGGTTGAACATTGCCAAAAGGCGGGGCACCTGCTGGCTGTGCTATCGGCGTTTGGATCGGTGCCACCTGCTGCGCTTGCACCAGCGCTGGTGGTGGTGGAGGAGGCTGATGAACCCAACTCAACTTCTCATCCTCTAAGATATCTTCTACATCATCATCGTTGAAGTCACTAGTCTCTTCCCACATCTGATTGAAATCCAGATCTTGTGTGTTCCAAACCCCATCACCGTCCGCGTCTTTTCCCTCCACCTTCTTTGATGGTCGTTGTACCCTGGTCAAATGTGTTGAATCTAACTGCTCTGGACGGGTCCCGAACAAGGATTGATGGGTGAAAGCTGTCGGGGGCAGGATCCAAGATCTTTCTCGGAGACGCTTGTGTCGTTCTCGATCTTCCTCTATCCTCCGTTGTATGTCGTTCGGCGGAAGCAGTGTAAGATTCCTCCTTTCTGGGGACAAGGCATACAAGCTCGCTTTCCTCACCTCCAACATCGTTTCCAAATCCTCAAACGTACTCCTATCCAGAATAAGTCTAGCTTTCCAAGCAGCAAGGATCTTTTCCACCGCTGGCACATTCAACAAGGCATCCCATCTCCCCTCTGGTATTGCTAGATCGAACAATGCGTATAGATCCCGTTCAAGATGACGACGAAAGAATGACCGGATGGTGGGGGAGAGTGTCTCGTCGGTAAATATGCTATCTATGAGGAAGAGAAGGTTGATGCGGCGATTGATGGAACCGGACTTGCATTCGTCCATGATACATTCCCATAATTCGGAGTGCATGGAGGGACCATATTCGACGATGGTTGAGAGGGCTTTTTGAATGGTTGGGAGAGATGCGTTGACTCGGTGGAGTGTTGAGACAAAGTGCAGGCGGACCTGAAAGGGGTCGGCTGACATTGTGGCGAATGCTCGCTGCGGAGTCCGGCGAAACGAGCGCTGGTGAGCTGAGGTGGCGGGTCGTAAGGATGGTTACAAGGGGAACGTCGTGAGAAGATTGCTTTGTGAAAAATCGCTCGGATATCGGAGATGTGGAGCGGACAGAGAGCTGTGTGCGTGCGTGCATCTTTTGTAGGGACGCGCTGTGGAGAACAACACTTTGCTTTCCGCAACTCACATCAAAATTTAGGAAATCGCAAGAGCATATCTGACTTCGAACAGGTCGCTCGACTGGGAAAGGCTCGAGTCGAGATGACAACGAGTCAACAGCTTCAGCTGGAATTTGCACAGCGCGACATTTCCTTCCAATACGCACAGCTCTGCTTGTCATCCAATTGCCCATCTGGCATCTATGTCCAGCTCGATGACGACGACACACATCGTAAGTGCCTCAATCTCATCTTTTCTCTGCCTGGCAACTCACTATATTGACACGAAGCTTCACTCTCCCACGATTGTATCGTCTTTTAGTATGGCATGCAGTGATCTTTGTCCAGCAAGGCCCATTCAACGGCGGCGTCTTTCGATTCGACATCGTCTTCCCCCCAACCTACCCTTCCGCAACCCCACAAGTCTTCTTTCCTCCCACCCTCCTCCACCCTTTAGTCGACCCCGACACAGGCCGCCACCTCCTAAGCTCCAGATTCCGGGCTGCTTGGAAGCCACGTCAAGACTTTGTCTTTCACATTCTCCACTTCGTCAAATCCGCTTTTCAGGAAGAAACACTCGAATCACTGCGGGAAGGAGTCGTTGCAAACCCTGAAGTGTTAAGAATGTTCAGAACGCATAGGACACTGTTCAATAAGCTGGCACTGCAGTCAGTTGCACTGTCGACAGCTCCTTCGAGCTTGTACGATGTTAGTGGGGGGAGTGGTTTTCCGAATCCTAGTATTGGGTTGAATAGAGCAGTTCCTGTCAAGCCAACTGTGGTAGATAAGGTGGGAAGTAGACCGATTAAAGCCGAGGAAGCGAATGGGATACTGTTTCGGAAGCTGGATGATGAAGAGATGGCAGTTCTGCGGAGGGACATTTTCGGCGATATACAAACACACAGCGAGACAGCAGAATAGTCTTTGATGGAAGTCCACGAAGCGTGTCCTGATCTAGCAATATACCCCAAGCATCAAATCACATTGACAAAACATGTGTAATGGTGAGAGAGCCTTGGTGACAGAGAGACAAGGTCATGCTCTTGAGTGTGAAGGCAAAATCAAAGATGTGAGTATGGAAGAAAAAAAGAAAAAAAGAAACTGCAGCACCTAGGATTCCCGCGTGGTCCCCCAGCGCAGTACTGACTAGGAGTTGAGGGAGACGTAACAATGGTTGGAGACGCGTCGGAACCGAACAGAGCCTACGGGGTCCGCGGAGGGCAAGTAACTATCGATGGGACGAAACCACACGTCGGTGGCTACGCATGTGGGATGCATAGGCGTTACCATGACAACTTAGGAGCAATGTGAGGAGTAAACTAGTCATAGATTGGCACAGGCTGAAGGTGACCGCCAAGCATGCGCATATATATGCTTATGTAAATAGCACTCAATAAATGACCCTTGAAAAAACTTAGCACCAAAAATTCTCAACTCTAGGCGATACCTTGCTTAACTTCGCAGATCGGACGGGATGCGGTGCTTTCAAGGTTCTATGGCCGCAGATGTTGATGAAACATCCTAAAAAATACATGTCAGCTATATTTCGGACAGGTTTGCGGCAGTGCCGAGTCGCGTGCCAGGGTCCAACTGAATGCAACTTGTTGATAGGCTGCGTTGGTGGAAGGCTGTGGAACGGCGACATGCGCCCTTATCCGCGGACAAGAATCAGCAGCGCCTTCTTTGGAGATGCCCGTGCCCTCTGAGAAAGATCGGCGAACTTTGTCTCCTTCTCGAGTAAAGAAAGGTGTTGTTACCGTGGTTCAGCGGCTCGGCATGGGGTCACAGCTTTTGTTAAATGGAGATGTCCACCCCGCGATGATAAAGATTCTGCCCCTTTGATATGATGGCAGATTGAGGCAGTGCCGACTATCTCTCTCCCGGTTGTGCGGTAGTGTTCCTTTCCGGCCGCCGATTCGAATCACTTCAGAAACAGATACAGAGACGTTGAGCGATTAGCCATAACGGTAGAATCATGGTGTTGATCCTGTTTCAAAGTTCTGTACCGCCCATTTCTTCGATGAGCGCGTCGGCGCTCATCGTGCCGAAAAGCTGAGTTGCATTTCGCTTGCTTCTTCTCACTTTGGAACGGCAAGAGAGGCTCCAATCTCAGCCGCCTTTTGTATAGCCGTTGCAGGTGTACACGAGCAACTCTGGCACCCTTACACCGTACCAACATAGCCAACCGCATGCTTTGTTATCAACCTGCGCCTTGTGACTCCTTGTGACTCCTTGTAGTTGAACCAGTTCGAGCCTTCTGCATCCCTCCTCCCCCGTCACCATCATTCACTCATCGCTCCGTCATCCCCACCACCAGCTGAATTTATTGACCCAGTCTCGAGGCATGACGGACTGACATGGATACAACACTACCGTTGCTGCATGAGCAGCCGTCTCGACATCTATCCTACTGGTCAACACCGCTTATCTTTGCTGCCTACCTGCCAGTTGCAGTCGTACTTTCCGTTATTGTCTCGCAGATATCTCCAAGGTCCCCAAGCTCCTCACCTTCTTTTCTCGCCCGGGTCTTCACACCTTTCGTTACCCCAGAGGATGTTCAAGAGTACGACCGCATCGAAGCTGAGGCACGCGAGAACGACAAGCATGTCCAGGCTAGCACTAGTATCGTCACTGATGGCGCCAACAGTCGCACGCAAAACGGATACGGTGCTGTAGATGATCGAAGCAAGGACAAGACTGTCGTGCGGACCTCGGCTTCCGGTGACAGTGCAAGGGACAGCGAGATATCACCTCTGCTTCCGCGTCGAGCAGGGTCTGGAGATGACTGCGACGTTGCGCAATGTCTTGCAAGGCAGCCACGTGCTGTGCAAGTCGGACTATCCCTGATCAACATCTCGCACTTGCTGGCTTGGGTCGCTGCACTAGTCTTTGCTTTCCTCAGTAGTCACTCTGCGGATCGCATCGGCGCAGAGGCTGGCTTCCAGAACGCCTTAGGCCTTCGATTGGTAGCCGCACTGCAGATCGTCGGCTGGGCATACGCATCTTCCTCATCCACCTTCTTCCCATCGCCTACTCCGCCCTACGCCATTCTTATCTTTTATGGAACACAACTTGCCGGGTCGGCTGTGTCAGCCTATCATTCGCTCTTCAGCGTACCTCATGCACCGCTCTCACCACCCCACCGAAGTCAGCTTGCACCTCCCATCTTCAGCCTGGTCTCAATGGGTCTCACATTGGTGGGTGTCGCACTCATCATGAGCTTGCCTCTGCAAGTCTACGACCGTAACCCGCAGCACGACCGCAATGGCTACCCTCCGCCCCTCGAAGATTACTGTACCCTGTGGCAGTGGGTCACCTTCTCCTGGCTCAACCCTATCATCAGCCTGGCCCAGACTCGTCCGCTCGAAGAATCCGATGTCTCACAGCTCAGCAAGCTCTCCAAGTCCCAGGTGCTTCGGACCAAGATGCGACGGGTTCAGCGCATCGATACCGAAAGATACGAGCACGAAAAGGCTCGAGCAGAAGCACAGACAGCCAATGCCACCGCCGAGGAGCGCGAGAAGGCACTCGCGAAAGCGGAGAAGAAGAAACCCAACATCCTGCGTCAGATCATCTGGATCAACTCCAGAGATCTCGCACTAGATTTCATCCTGACTATCGTCTCGTACACTTTGGCCTATGCAAGTCCCTTCTTCTTACGGCAGATTCTGGGTGCACTGCAAAGCCGAGAAGAAGAGCCTGTGCAAGTCTTCGGTGCAGCTCAGCATCTATCGGGTGTTCCTGCCCCGTCCGGATTTTCGGCTTTCACGACTGCCCTTCAAGGCAGCATGCACTCTTACGTCGCTCCGGTGACAAACATTGTCACTTTCGACAAGTACGATGCCATCGACCCTGCCAAGAAGCGTGCCTTCTTGTATGCCGTATTCGCTCTACTTGCTTCTGTCATCAAGACTCAGACCGACCTGCAGCATCTGTACTTCAGTCGACGTGCTGGTGTTCGCATCAAGTCAGAGCTTACACTGGCCATCTACGACAAAGCCTTGCGCCGCAAAGACATCTCTGGCTCTCTTCAGAGCACTACCTTGACTGCCGATGTGCAGCAAGCCACTGACGATACTGCTAAGCCTCACGGTAAAGACGAAACGTCGGACAAGAAAGAAACGAAAAAGATGCAAGACGACGACAAGAGCAGCGCAAGTGTCGGCAAAGTCGTCAACCTCATGTCGACGGATGCCAATTCCATTTCCATGACGGTCACAGCTATCTACATGGCCTACTCTGCGCCTGTCGAGCTTATTATCGCCACCACATTCCTTTACAAGCTTCTTGGATGGTCCGCATTCGTCGGTGCTGGCCCCGCTCTGATCCTCATGCCGATGCAGCAGCGATTCACCATGATGTCGTTTGCCAACAACAAAGAGCTTCTCAAGGCGAGAGATAAGCGTATCACCGTGCTCAATGAGGTCATCCTTTCCATTCGATTCATCAAGTTCTTCGCACGGGAACGCGGATGGTCGGAACGAGTCTTGCGTGCTCGACAAGCCGAAATCAAGTGGCTCGTTCGAGGTGTATGGATCATGGCTGGTTTGTTCCTGTCCTTTGCCCTGATTCCGATTACTTTCACTGTCTCTGCGTTCTCCTCGTACACGCTGATTCAGGGGAAGCAGCTCGATGTTGCTACCGGCTTCACTGCAATTGCTCTCTTTGCAATGCTCAGGAACCCGCTCAACATCTTGCCGATGGTGATCAACATGATCTTCCAGGCGAAGGTATCGATGGATCGCATCGACGCCTTCTTGCATGAGGACGAAGTGCCTGATTGGGTCGTCAAGAACCGCAACGTGCATACAGAGCAGAACGCTGGGAAGGACGACGCTGAGGATCGCACTATTGTTCTTGACGGCGCCACACTTCGTTGGCAAGGTTCCAAGCCGGTCGAAAAATCGACCAAAGCGGCTAAGCCCTCACTGCTCTCGAAGCTCAAGCTTTGGAAGAAAGGTGCAATGAAGGCACCAGAACAGGCAGCCAGCAATGAAGTCCAAGACAGCGAAGAAGGGAACAAGCCTGAGCCGTTCCAACTCACTGCAATCGACTTCCGCCCGCTTCGTGGCAAGATCACCTTAATATGTGGTCCCACTGGCTCTGGAAAGTCCTCATTGCTCTCGGGTATCCTCGGTGAGATGGATCTGCTCGACGGCACCATCTCGTTGCCGAAGCGCCCACTGTCTTTGCTCAGCGGTGGTGTCACCTACTGCTCTCAGACTGCCTGGCTCGAGACCATGAGCATCAGGGATAACATTGTGTTTGGGCAGTACTTTGACCAAGAACGATACGACCATGTACTAGAGTGCTGCTGCCTCAAGCCAGATCTCAAGACCTTCCCAGATGGCGATCAGACCGAGATCGGAGAAAACGGCGTTTCCCTCTCCGGTGGTCAGAAGGCGCGAGTTGCACTTGCACGTGCCGTTTACTCGAGATCACCCATTCTGCTCCTTGACGATGTGCTGGCCGCTGTAGACTCGCACACTGCCAAGAAGCTTGTTGACGATTGCTTGTGCGGCGATCTGCTCAGAGGCCGCACCGTCGTTCTGGTCACGCATCACGTCGAAGCTGTCTTGCCGCACGTTGCGCAGGTTGTCATGCTTGAGGAAGGTCACATTCGGGCTCGTGGCACTGCAGGTGAACTCAAGGCAGAAGGCCTTCTCTCGGCGCTTGTGCAAGATTCATTCGCCAAAAGTCCCGACAGCAAAGGCAAGGAGGCGGCAAAAGACCAGCTATTAGAGGAAGAAGCAAAAGACGCTGCTGTGGAAGCCAAGGTCCAATCCCAAGCAGAAGGACCCACGGACGGGAAAGCTGACACGGCAAATGCCGGAGCGACATCGGCACGGGGCAAACTCGTGCAAGCAGAAGGCAAGTCAACGGGCAAAGTCAAACGAGAGATCTACGTGACGTATCTCTCCGCTTTCGGATGGTTGCCCGTCTTCATCGTCCTCTTCGCCATCATGTGGGCACGATCCTTCGATGTTTTGGAAAAGTACTGGCTGTCTTACTGGGGCAACGCTTACCTGCGTCATCCGGGCGATCACGATCACATTCAACATCGACTGCCAAATCCCAAGAACAATGTCGTACCTTACCTCGGCATCTATGGCTTCATATCGCTCTTTGGCTACTTTGGCACGATCTTGGCAGTACTTGTGACGGGTGTCTATGGTATCACAGCGGGCAACAAGCTCTTTGAAAAAATGCTGCATACTGTCGTGCGGTCCCCTACAAGGTTCTTTGATCAGACGCCAACAGGTCGGATCTTGAATCGATTCACAAAGGATGTCGAAACGGTCGACAGCACGTTAGCTGGCAACGTTCGACAGCTGGTCGCCTTCGCTGGTGCCTCGATCCTTTCTTTCGCTACGATGGCGGTGACAGTGCCGAGTTTCGTTCCCCTGCTAGTGCTGTTCGCTTACGTGTACTATCGAACGGCTCAAGCGTACATCAGTGCTGCGCGTGACCTTCGTCGCCTTGAGTCGGTCACTCGATCACCA